ACCACACACACCACACACAAATACACACACCACACACACACAAATACACACACCACACACAACACACATACACACCGCACACAAATACACACACCACACACAACACACACACCGCACACAAATACACACACCACACACAACACACACACACCACACACACACACACACACCACACACAACACACACACCACACACAACACACACAAATACACACACAACACACACACCACACACAAATACACACACCACACACACACACAAATACACACACCACACACAAATACACACACCACACACAACACAAATACACACACCACACACACACAAATACACACACCACACACACACAAATACACACACCACACACACACAAATACACACACCACACGCACCGCACACAAATACACACACCACACACAACGCACACACCACACACAACACACACAAATACACACACCACACACAACACACACACCACACACAACACACACACCACACACAAATACACACACCACACACACACAAATACACACACCGCACACAAATACACACACCGCACACAACACACACACCACACACAACACACACACCACACACAAATACACACACCACACACACACAAATACACACACCGCACACAAATACACACACCGCACACAACACACACACCACACACAACACACACACCACACACAAATACACACACCACACACACACAAATACACACACCACACACAACACACACAAATACACACACCACACACAAATACACACACCACACGCACGCACACCGCACACACACACACGCACGGCACACAAATACACACACCGCACACAAATACACACACCACACACAAATACACACACCACACGCACGCACACCGCACACACACACACACACACCGCACACAAATACACACACCGCACACAACACACACACACCGCACACAACACACACACACCGCACACACACCGCACACAAATACACACACCACACGCACCGCACACAAATACACACACCGCACACAAATACACACACCGCACACAACACACACACCCCGCACACACACCGCACACACACACACACCGCGCACACACACACACACCGCACACAAATACACACACCCGCACACACACACACCGCAAACACACACACACACCGCACACACACACCGCACACACACACCACACCGCACACACACACACCGCACACACACACACACCGCACACACACACACCGCACACACACACACACTGCACACACACACACACCGCACACACACCGCACACACACACACCGCACACACACACCACACACAAATACACACACCGCACACACACACACACCGCACACACACACCGCACCACACGCACCGCACACAAATACACACACCGCACACACACACACACCGCACACACACACCGCACCACACGCACCGCACACAAATACACACACCCGCACACACACACACACCGCAAACACACACACACACCGCACACACACACACACCACACACACACCGCACACACACACACACACACCGCACACACACACCGCACACACACCGCACACACACACACCGCACACACACCGCACACACACACCGCGCACACACACACACGGCATGCACACACACACACACACACCGAATACACATACCGCACACACACACACACCGCACACACACACACACCGCACACACACACACACCACATACACACACACACCGCACACATACACACACCGCACTCACACCGCACACACACACACCGCGCACACACACACACGGCATGCACACACACACACACACACCGAATACACATACCGCACACATGCACCGCATACCGCACACACGCACTGTACACACCACACGCACTGTACACCCATGCACGTACACACACATACACACACCACACCGCACAAACACACACACTGCATGCACCCACACACACACCGCACACACACACACACCACACACACCGAACACAGACACGAAGCACACACGCACTGGGTGGGTGGGTGAGCGCATGATTGAGTGTGTAATTGGGTGAGTGAGTTGTTGACTCGGTGAATAAGTGGGTGGGTGAGTGGGTGGGTGAGTAGGTGGGTGGGTGAGTAGGTGGGTGGGTGAGTAGGTGAGCGGGTGAGTGGGTGAGCGGGTAAATAGATGAGTGGGAGGGCGAGCGGGTAAGTAGATGAGTGAGTGATGAAGATGGTGGTGATGATTCTGATTTGATCACCTGGTCTCTGGCTTCAATTCCTCTCCAACCCCACCAGCATCATCATCATCAGGACCCCCATCATCATCAGCAGCATCCCTCACGTACTCCTGCCATACAGAAACAAAGATCCCCCATGTAGCATGTAGTAGACTGTAGTGCTGTTAGCGTGTGGCACCTATGAAGACGGGCAAGGCACACGAGGGGGTGGGCGGCCAGCACCATGCCCGGCCACCTTTCTCTTCCGAGCGCCGATGTTTACACCCAACTACCAAGTACTCACTGAAGGCTGAGTCGACCTCGCTGAGGCCCAGGGCCACTTCAGACCATCGATGCTGTTATTGCGTGCACAGACAAGGCTCTCCTGTGTAGCCCACAAAGGTGTTGGGATTAGTGCTGTGAGTTATATAGGTTAATGCGTGGGTGAGTGTGCGGGTGAGTGAGTAAGTGGGTGAGTGTGTGGGTGAATGTGTGGGTAAGTGAGTGAGTGGGTGAGTGAGTGAGTGAGTGGGTGAGTGTGTGGGTGAGTGAGTGGGTGAGTGTGCAGGTGAGCATAGGTGAGTGCGTGGGTGAGTGTGGGTGAGTGGGTGAGTGTGTGGATGGGTGGATGAGTGTGTTGGTGAGTATGTGGGTGAGTGTGTGGGTGAGTGTGCAGGTGAGTGAGCATGTGGGTGTGTGTGGGTGTGTGGGTGCGTGTGTGGGTGAGCATGTGGGGGCGAGCATGTGGGTGTGTGGGTGTGTGGGTGCGTGTGTGGGCGAGCATGTGGGCGAGCATGTGGGTGTGTGTGGGTGAGTGTGTGGGTGAGTGTGTGGGTGCGTGTGTGGGTGAGTGTGTGGGTGAGTGTGTGGGTGTGTGGGTGAGCGTGTGGGTGAGTGTGTGGGTGAGTGTGTGGGTGAGTGTGTGGGTGAGTGTGTGGGTGTGTGGGTGAGCGTGTGGGTGAGTGTGTGGGTGAGTGTGTGGGTGAGTGTGTGGGTGAGTGTGTGGGTGTGTGGGTGAGCGTGTGGGTGAGTGTGTGGGTGAGTGTGTGGGTGAGTGTGTGGGTGAGTGTGTGGGTGAGTGTGTGGGTGAGTGGGTGGGTGTGTGGGTGAGTGTGTGGGTGAGTGTGTGGGTGAGTGTGTGGGTGAGTGTGTGGGTGAGTGTGTGGGTGAGTGTGTGGGTGTGTGGGTGAGCGTCACACTCACCACAAAGTCGTGGGTGAGGTCTGGACAGAACCGGGCGTAAACGTTGAGGTCGGGGTAGCGATGGCTTCTCGGGGGAATGCCTCCCAGCTACACACAGACACGGACAAAGGCCCCCGTGTAGCCCACACAGGCTGTAAGGGCAAGTGCTGTCAGGAGTGAGTAGTCGCAGTGCCTCTGAAGGCCGGCACTGTGGCACACGAGGGGGTGGTTGACCAGCACCAAGTCCGCCCGGCCGCCTTTGTCTCCCCAGGCTGACTCGACCTCAGGGAGGCCTACGATGGTCCAAATATTCGCTACTGCTTTTGGTCACTCCCTCATCCACTCCCTTACCCACTCCCTCACCCACTCACCCACTCACCTCCCTCACCCACTCCCTCACCCACTCACCCACTCACCTCCCTCACCCACTCCCTCACCCACTCACCTCCCTCACTCACCTCCCTCATCCACTCCCTCACCCACTCCCTCACCCACTCACCCACTCACCTCCCTCACCCACTCCCTCACCCACTCACTCACCCACTCACCTCCCTCATCCACTCACCTCCCTCACCCACTCCCTCACCCCCTCACCCACTCACCCACTCACCTCCCTCACCCACTCCCTCACCCACTCCCTCACCCACTCACCCACTCACCTCCATCACCCACTCACCTCCTTCACCAACTCACCTCCCTCACCCACTCACCTCCCTCACCCACTCACCCACTCACCTCCCTCACCCACTCACCCACTCACCTTCCTCACCAACTCACCTCCCTCACCCACTCACCTCCCTCACTCACCTCCCTCACCCACTCACCTCCCTCATCCACTCCCTCACCCACTCACCTACTTCACCCACTCACCTCCCTCACCCACTCACCTCCCTCATCCACTCCCTCACCCACTCACCTACTTCACCCACTCACCTCCCTCACCCACTCACCTCCCTCATCCACTCCCTCACCCACTCACCTACTTCACACACTCACCTCCCTCACCCACTCACCTCCCTCACCCACTCACCCACTCACCTCCCTCACCCACCTTCCTCACCCACTCACCCACTCACCTCCCTCACCCACGCACCTCCCTCACACACTCACCTCCTTCACCCACTCACCTCCCTCACCCACTCACCTCCCTCACCCACGCACCCACTCACCTCCCTCACCCACTCACCCACTCACCTCCCTCACCCACTCACCTCCCTCACCCACTCACCTCCCTCACCCACTCACCTCCTTCACCCACTCACCTCCCTCACCCACTCCCTCACCCACTCACCTACTTCACCCACTCACCTCCCTCACCCACTCACCTCCCTCACCCACTCACCTCCTTAACCCACTCCCCTCCTTCACCCACTCACCTCCCTCACCCACTCACCTCCCTCACCCACTCACCTCCCTCACCCACTCACCTCCTTCACCCACTCCCCTCCTTCACCCACTCACCTCCCTCACCCACTCACCTCCCTCACCCACTCACCTCCCTCACCCACTCACCCACTCACCTCCCTCACCCACTCCCTCACCCACTCCCTCACCCACTCACCTCCCTCACCCACTCACCTCCCTCACCCACTCCCTCACCCACACCCTCAACCACTCACCTTCCTCACCCACTCACCCACTCACCTCCCTCACCCACGCACCTCCCTCACACACCCACCTCCTTCACCCACTCACCTCCCTCACCCACTCACCTCCCTCACCCACTCACCTCCCTCACCCACTCACCCACTCACCTCCCTCACCCACTCACCCACTCACCTCCCTCACCCACTCACCTCCCTCACCCACTCACCTCCTTAACCCACTCCCCTCCTTCACCCACTCACCTCCCTCACCCACTCACCTCCCTCACCCAATCACCTCCCTCACCCACTCACCTCCTTCACCCACTCACCTCCCTCACCCACTCCCTCACCCACTCACCTACTTCACCCACTCACCTCCCTCACCCACTCACCTCCCTCACCCACTCACCTCCTTAACCCACTCCCCTCCTTCACCCACTCACCTCCCTCACCCACTCACCTCCCTCACCCACTCACCTCCCTCACCCACTCACCTCCTTCACCCACTCACCTCCCTCACCCACTCCCTCACCCACTCACCTACTTCACCCACTCACCTCCCTCACCCACTCACCTCCCTCACCCACTCACCTCCCTCACCCACTCACCTCCTTAACCCACTCCCCTCCCTCACCCACTCACCTCCCTCACCCACTCCCTCACCCAATCCCTCACCCACTCACCTCCCTCACCCACTCACCAACTCACCTCCCTCACTCACCTTCCTCACCCACTCACCTCCCTCACCCACTCACCTCCCTCACCCACTCACCTACCTCACCCACTCACCTCCCTCACCCACTCATCTCCCTCACCCACTCACCTCCCTCACCCACTCACCTCCTTCACCCAATCACCTCCCTCACCCACTCCCTCACCCACTCACCTCCCTCACTCACCTTCCTCACCTCCCTCACCCACTCACCTCCCTCACCCACTCACCTCCGTCACTCACCTTCCTCACCCACTCACCTCGCTCACCCACTCTCCTCCCTCACCCACTCCCTCACCCACACCCTCAACCACTCACCTCCCTCACTCACCTTCCTCACCCACTCACCTCCCTCACCCACTCCCTCACCCACTCACCTCCCTCACCCACTCACCTCCCTAACCCACTCACCTCCCTCACGCACTCCCTCACCCCTCCCTCACCCACTCACCTCCCTCACTCACCTTCCTCACCCACTCACCTCCCTCACCCACTCACCCACTCACCTCCCTCACCCACTCCCTCACCTCCCTCACCCACCTTCCTCACCCACTCACCTCCCTCACTCACTCACCTCCCTCACCCACTCACCCACTCACCTCCCTCACCCGCTCACCTCCCTCACCCACTCACCCACTCACCTCCCTCACCCACTCCCTCACCTACTCACCTCCCTCACCCACTCACCCACTCACCTCCCTCACCCACTCACCTCCCTCACCCACTCACCTCCCTCACCCACTCACCTCCCTCACCCACTCACCTCCTTCACCCACTCCCCTCCCTCACCCACTCAATCAGTCACTCCCTCACCCACTTACCCACTCACCCCCACTCACTCCCTCACACACTCACCTCCCTCACCCACTCAATAACTCACTCCCTCACACACTCACCCACTCACCCACTCACTCCCTCACCCACTTACCCACTCACCCACTCAATCACTCCCTCACCCACTTTCCCACTCACTCCCTCACCCACTCACCCACTCACCCACTTACTCCCTCACCCACTCACCCACTCACCCACTCCCCTCCTACTCAATCACTCACTCCCTCCCTCACCCACTCACCCACTCAATCAGTCACTCCCTCACCCACTCACTCCCTCACCCGCTCCCCTCCCTCACCCACTCACCCACTCCCCTCCTTCACCCACTCACCCACTCCCCTCCCTCACCCACTCACTCCCTCACCCACTCACTCCCTCACCCGCTCCCCTCCCTCACCCACTCACCCACCCACTCCCCTCCTTCACCCACTCACCCACTCCCCTCCCTCACCCACTCAATCACCCACTCACTCACTCACCCACTCCCCTCCTTCACCCACTCACTCCCTCACCCAATCAATCACTCACTCACTCCCTCACTCACTCACCCACTCCTCTCCCTCACCCACTCACCCAGTCACTCCCTCACCCACTCCCTCTCTCACCCACTCCCTCTCTCACCCACTCCCTCTCTCACCCACTCACCCACTCCCTTCCCTCACCCACTCACCCACTCCCCTCCCTCACCCACTCACCCACTCACTCCCTCACCCACTCCCCTCCTTCACCCACTCACTCCCTCACCCACTCACCCACTCCTCTCCCTCACCCACTCACCCACTCACTCCCTCACCCACTCCCTCTCTCACCCACTCCCTCTCTCACCCACTCCCCTCCCTGACCCACTCACCCACTCCCCTCCCTCACCCACTCACTCCCTCACCCACTCCCCTCCTTCACCCACTCACTCCCTCACCCACTCACCCACTCCTCTCCCTCACCCACTCACCCACTCACTCCCTCACCCACTCCCTCTCTCACCCACTCACTCCCTCACCCACTCACTCCCTCACCCACTCCCTCTCTCACCGTCACGCCCTCCTCTGCTCCCCCCCCCTCCCTCCTCCTCGTCGTGGTGGGGAGCGTCCCTCTGGTCCTCTCCATCCGACTCCGAGTCACTCGAGTCTACGTAGACAGCTATGGACGCCCACACAGACGGACACGCACAGACACAGAGGGAGAGACACGCACACAGAGACACACACACACGCACAGACACAGAGAGAGAGAGACGCACACAGAGACACAGACACATACATACAGACACAGAGAGAGAGAGACACGCACACAGAGACACAGGCACACACACGCACAGACACAGAGAGAGAGACACGCACACAGAGACACACACACACGCACAGACACAGAGAGAGAGAGACGCACACAGAGACACAGACACACACACACAGACACAGACACACACACACACAGACACAGACACACACAAACACACACACACACAGAGACACAGACACACACACAGATACACACACAGACAGACACAGAGAGAGTGAGATACGCACTCAAAGACACAAACACACACACACAGACAGACACAGAGAGAGAGATACGCACACAGAGACACAGACACACACACAGACAGAGAGAGAGAGAGACACGCACACAGAGACACACACACAGACACAGACACACACCCACAGACACACAGACAGACACAGACAAACACACCCACAGACACACACGCACACAGAGACACAGACACACAGACACACACACAGACACAGACATACACAGACAGACACAGACACACAGACACACACACAGACACACGCACACAGAGACACAGACACACAGACACACACACAGGCACAGACATGCACAGACAGACACAGACACACAGACACACACACAGACACACGCACACAGAGACACAGACACACAGACACACACACAGACACAGACATACACAGACAGACACAGACACACAGACACACACACAGACACACGCACACAGACAGACACAGACACACAGACACACACACAGACACAGACATACACAGACAGACACAGACACACAGACACACACACAGACACAGACATACACAGACAGACACAGACACACAGACACACACACAGACACAGACATACACAGACAGACACACAGACACATACTCACACAGAGAGTCCCGCGTATTGAAGTGGAGTTTGGAGTCAAGGCCGTGCGGTGCAGCGGAGGTGCGGTGCGTGGATGTGCGGTGCCGTCTCTCACCGTGCGCCCCGTCCCGCTGCTGCTGCTGCTGTGCGGACCCCCACGGGGGTTCCGTGGACCCCTGTGGGGACCCCAGCGGGGGCAGGGGGTAGTCGAGGGGGCAGTGGAGCGAGGTGAGGGGCAGGCGGAGATGCGGCTGGGCCCTGCGCATCACCAGGCAGGCCTGGGCAGCCAGCGCCGAGCAGCATGAGGTGGGGCGCTGCTGCACCACCGCCTGCAACCGCACGCAGACCGCACGCTCACCGCACTCACCGCACTAACCATACCAAAAGCACCAACCACACCAACCACACGCTCACCGCGCTCACCGCACTCACCGCACCAACCACCCCAACAGCACCAACCACACCAACCACACGCTCACCGCACTCACCGCACCAACCACAGGCTCACCGCACTCACCGCACTAACCACACCAACCACAGGCTCACCGCACTCACCACAATAACCACACCAACAGCACCAACCACACGCTCACCGCACTCACCGCACTAACCATACCAAAAGCACCAACCACACCAAGCACACGCTCACCGCACTCACCGCACTAACCACACCAACAGCACTAACCACACCAACCACACGCTCACCGCACTCACCGCACCAACCACACCAACCACACGCTCACCACACTCACCGCACTAACCACACCAACAGCACCAACCACACGCTCACCGCACTCACCGCACTAACCACACCAACCACACGCTCACCGCACTAACCACACCAACCACACGCACATCGCACTCACCGCACCAACCACACCAACAGCACCAACCACACCAACCACACGCTCACCGCACTCACCGTACCAACCACACCAACCACACGCTCACCGCACTCACCGCAATAACCACACCAACCACACTAACCACACCAACCACACGCTCACCGCACTCACTGCACCAACCACACCAAGCACACGCTCACCGCACTAACCACACCAACCGCACTAACCACACCAACTGCACTAACCACACCAACTGCACGCTCACCGCACTTACCGCACTAACTATACCAACCACACGCTCACCGCAATAACCACCCCAACTGCACGAATCACATTCTTACCAACCGCAAGCTCCGCCCATAGCTCACTCTCACCACACCCTAACCGCATCAGCCACATGCGCTAACGTCATGCACCACACCAACCACACCAACCACACCAACCACAGTAACCACACCAACCACAGTAACCACACCAACCACACCAACCACAGTAACCACACCAACCACAGTAACCACAGTAACCACACCAACCACAGTAACCACACCAACCACAGTAACCACAGTAACCACACCAACCACAGTAACCACACCAACCACAGTAACCACACCAACCACAGTAACCACACCAACCACAGTAACCACAGTAACCACAGTAACCACACCAACCACAGTAACCACACCAACCACAGTAACCACACCAACCACAGTAACCACAGAGACGCACACTGCAGCGTGATTACTTACTTCGTACACAGTGCGAGTGAGGACTTCCTGGTGAGTACCTGAGTGAGTAGCTGAATGAGTGAGTTCCTGAGAGATTACCTGAGTGACTACCTGAGAGACTACCTGAGTGAGTACCTGAATGAGTAACTGAATGAGCGAGTACCCACCGCAATAACCACACCAACCACACGCTCACCGCACTCACCGCACCAACCACACCAACCACACCAACCACACACTCACCGCACTCACCGCACCAACCACACCAACCACAGGCTCACCGAACTCACCGCACTAACCACACCAACCACACTAACCACACCAACCACACGCTCACCGCACTCACCGCAATAACCACACCAACTGCACTAACCAAACCAACCACATGCTCACCGCACCCACCGCACTAACCACACCAACCACACTAACCACACAAACCACACTAACCACACCAACCACACGCTCACCGCACTCACCGCAATAACCACACCAACCACACCAACCACAGCAACCACACGCTCACCGCACTAACCACACCAACAGTACCAACCACACCAACCACACACTCACCGCACTCACCGCACCAACCACACCAACCACAGGCTCACCGAACTCACCGCACTAACCACACCAACCACACTAACCAAACCAACCACACGCTCACCGCACCCACCGCACTAACCACACCAACCACACTAACCACACCAACCACACTAACCACACCAACCACGCTCACCGCACTCACCGCAATAACCACACCAACTGCACTAACCAAACCAACCACACGCTCACCGCACTCACCGCACTCACCGCACTCACCACACCAACCACACGCTCACCGCACTCACCGCACTAACCACACCAACCACACCAACCACAGCAACCACACGCTCACCGCAATAACCACACCAACAGTACCAACCACACCAACCACACAATCCCCGCACTCACCGCACCAACCACACCAACCACAGGCTCACCGAACTCACCGCACTAACCACACCAACCACACACTCCCCGCACTCACCGCACCAACCACACCAACCACACGCTCACCGCACTCACCGCAACTAACCACACCAACCGCCCTAACTACATCAACCACACGCTCACCGCACTCACCGCACTAACCACACCAACCGCACTAACCACACCAACCGCACTAACCACACCAACCGCACTAACCACACCAACTGCACTAACCACACCAACTGCACGCTCACCGCACTTACCGCACTAACTATACCATCCACACGCTCACCGCAATAACCACACCAACCGCACGAATCACATTCTTACCAACCGCAAGCTCCGCCCATAGCTCACTCTCACCGCACCCTAACCGCATCAGCCACATGCGCTAACGTCATGCACCACACCAACCACAGTAACCACACCAACCACAGTAACCACACCAACCACACCAACCACACCAACCACAGTAACCACATCAACCACACCAACCACAGTAACCACACCAACCACAACAACCACAGTAACCACAGTAACCACACCAACCACAGTAACCACACCAACCACACCAACCACACCAACCACACCAACCACAGTAACCACACCAACCACACCAACCACAGTAACCACACCAACCACAGTAACCACAGTAACCACACCAACCACAGTAACCACACCAACCACAGTAACCACAGTAACCACACCAACCACAGTAACCACAGTAACCACACCAACCACAGTAACCACACCAACCACAGTAACCACAGTAACCACACCAACCACAGTAACCACAGTAACCACACCAACCACAGTAACCACACCAACCACACCAACCACAGTAACCACAGTAACCACACCAACCACAGTAACCACACCAACCACACCAACCACAGTAACCACAGTAACCACACCAACCACAGTAACCACACCAACCACAGTAACCACACCAACCACAGTAACCACACCAACCACAGTAACCACAGTAACCACACCAACCACAGTAACCACACCAACCACACTAACCACCCCAACCACAGTAACCACAGTAACAACACCAACCACAGTAACCACACCAACCACACCAACCACACCAACCACACTAACCACACCAACCACAGTAACCACACCAACCACAGTAACCACAGTAACCACACCAACCACAGTAACCACACCAACCACAGTAACCACACCAACCACACCAACCACACCAACCACACCAACCACAGTAACCACACCAACCACACCAACCACACCAACCACAGTAACCACAGAGACGCACACTGCAGCGTGATTACTTACTTCGTACACAGTGCGAGTGAGGACTTCCTGGTGAGTACCTGAGTGAGTAGCTGAATGAGTGAGTTCCTGAGAGATTACCTGAGTGACTACCTGAGAAACTACCTGAGTGAGTACCTGAGTGAGTACCTGAATGAGTATCTGAATGAGCGAGTGCCAGAGTGAGTATCTGAGTGAGTATCTGAGACACTACCTGAGTATCTGAGTGAGAACCTGAGTACCTGAGTATCTGAGAGACTACTTGAGTGAGTACCTGAATGAGCGAGTGCCAGAGTGAGTATCTGAGTGAGTATCTGAGACACTACCTGAGTATCTGAGTGAGAATCTGAGAGACTACCTGAGTACCTGAGTATCTGAGAGACTACCTGAGTGAGTACCTGAATGAGCGAGTACCAGAGTGAGTATCTGAGTGAGAACCTGAGAGACTACCTGAGTACCTGAGAGACTACCTGAGTGAGTACCTGAATGAGCGAGTACCAGAGTGAGTATCTGAGTGAGAACCTGAGAGACTACCTGAGAATCTGAGAGACTACCTGAGAGACTACCTGAGTATCTGAGTGAGAACCTGAGAGACTACCTGAGTATCTGAGAGACTACCTGAGTGAGTACCTGAATGAGCGAGTACCAGAGTGAGTATCTGAGTGAGTATCTGAGACACTACCTGAGTATCTGAGAGACTACCTGAGTACCTGAGTACCTGAGAGACTACCTGAGTGAGTACCTGAATGAGCGAGTACCAGAGTGAGTATCTGAGTGAGTATCTGAGACACTACCTGAGTATCTGAGTGAGAACCTGAGTACCTGAGTACCTGAGAGACTACTTGAGTGAGTACCTGAATGAGCGAGTACCAGAGTGAGTATCTGAGTGAGTATCTGAGACACTACCTGAGTATCTGAGTGAGAACCTGAGAGACTACCTGAGTATCTGAGAGACTACCTGAGTGAGTACCTGAATGAGCGAGTACCAGAGTGAGTATCTGAGTGAGTAGCTGAGACACTACCTGAGTATCTGAGTGAGAACCTGAGTACCTGAGTATCTGAGAGACTACCTGAGTGAGTACCTGAATGAGCGAGTACCAGAGTGAGTATCTGAGTGAGAATCTGAGAGACTACCTGAGTACCTGAGTACCTGAGAGACTACCTGAGTGAGTACCTGAATGAGCGAGTACCAGAGTGAGTATCTGAGTGAGTATCTGAGACACTACCTGAGTATCTGAGTGAGAATCTGAGAGACTACCTGAGTATCTGAGAGACTACCTGAGAGACTACCTGAGTACCTGAATGAGCGAGTACCAGAGTGAGTATCTGAGTGAGTATCTGAGACACTACCTGAGTATCTGAGTGAGAACCTGAGTACCTGAGTATCTGAGAGACTACTTGAGTGAGTACCTGAATGAGCGAGTACCAGAGTGAGTATCTGAGTATCTGAGACACTACCTGAGTATCTGAGAGACTACCTGAGTACCTGAGTACCTGAGAGACTACCTGAGTGAGTACCTGAATGAGCGAGTACCAGAGTGAGTATCTGAGTGAGAACCTGAGTACCTGAGAGACTACCTGAGAGACTACCTGAGTGAGTACCTGAATGAGCGAGTACCAGAGTGAGTATCTGAGTGAGAACCTGAGAGACTACCTGAGTATCTGAGAGACTACCTGAGAGACTACCTGAGAGACTACCTGAGAGACTACTTGAGTGAGTACCTGAATGAGCGAGTACCAGAGTGAGTATCTGAGTGAGTATCTGAGAGACTACCTGAGTACCTGAGAGACTACTTGAGTGAGTACCTGAATGAGCGAGTACCAGAGTGAGTATCTGAGTGAGTATCTGAGACACTACCTGAGTATCTGAGACACTACCTGAGTACCTGAGTATCTGAGAGACTACCTGAGAGACTACTTGAGTGAGTACCTGAATGAGCGAGTACCAGAGTGAGTATCTGAGTGAGTATCTGAGACACTACCTGAGTATCTGAGTGAGAACCTGAGAGACTACCTGAGTACCTGAGAGACTACTTGAGTGAGTACCTGAATGAGCGAGTACCAGAGTGAGTATCTGAGTGAGAACCTGAGAGACTACCTGAGTACCTGAGAGACTACCTGAGTGAGTACCTGAATGAGCGAGTACCAGAGTGAGTATCTGAGTGAGTATCTGAGACACTACCTGAGTATCTGAGTGAGAACCTGAGAGACTACCTGAGTACCTGAGAGACTACTTGAGTGAGTACCTGAATGAGCGAGTACCAGAGTGAGTATCTGAGTGAGAACCTGAGAGACTACCTGAGTACCTGAGAGACTACCTGAGTGAGTACCTGAATGAGCGAGTACCTGTGTGGTGTGGTAGAGCGCCGCCAGTGCCCCCGCGTGTACCAGCGCGCCCCTCCCCGCCCGCGTCCGTGCCCCGCGCCCCAGCGCCGCCAGCAGGGCGCGCCGCAGCCACGCGTAGCGGTGGCGCGCGTCGCGTCCGTGCCAGGCTAGGTACACGCGCAGCAGAGTGCGCAGGTGGCCCCGCTCGGCAGCGCGCCGGGCGTTCGTCTCTGCGGCGAAGGCACAAAGGTGGCCTCCGGAATCAGAACCCAGTGCGGCCCCTCCTCTCAACGCCGGCCATTGGTTCCGCGAAACCGGAACGTGAAGCGATTTGCTCGTTACGAGTGTGTAGGGAATAGAGTCCACGGCCAAGAATTTCCACTTCTGAACGCCCCAATGCCCACGAATGGACGTCGTCGATTGGCCGAGGCCCCGGTCAGACCACTTTTGAGCTCGCCGATTGGCCAAAATGGGCGGTCGCGTGCTCGTTGTGAGCCCGTCGTTAACGGTAAGCGAACACATTGGGCTCTATGGAGGCACTAAACCACCATACACTACACTCCTATACACTACACTATACACTACTATACACTACACTATACACTACTATACACTACACTATACACTACTATACACTACACTACTATACACTACACTATACACTACTATACACTACACTCCTATACACTACACTATACACTACACTCCTATACACTACACTATACACTACTATACACTACACTCCTATACACTACACTCCTATACACTACTATACACTACACTATACACTACTATACACTACACTACTATACACTACACTACTATACACTACTATACACTACACTATACACTACTATACACTACACTATACACTACTATACACTACACTACTCTACACTACACTCCTATACACTACACTATACACTACTATACACTACACTATACACTACTATACACTACACTCCTATACACTACACTCCTATACACTACACTCCTATACACTACACTCCTATACACTACTATACACTACACTATACACTACTATACACTACACTATACACTACTATACACTACACTATACACTACTATACACTACACTATACACTACTATACACTACACTATACACTACTATACACTACACTATACACTACTATACACTACACTATACACTACTATACACTACACTATACACTACTATACACTACACTATACACTACTATACACTACACTACTCTACACTACACTCCTATACACTACACTCCTATACACTACACTCCTATACACTCCTATACACTACACTATACACTACTATACACTACACTATACACTACTATACACTACACTACTATACACTACACTCCTATACACTACTATACACTACACTATACACTACACTCCTATACACTACTATACACTACACTACTATACACTACACTCCTATACACTACACTACTATACACTACACTCCTATACACTACTATACACTACACTATACACTACTATACACTACACTATACACTACTCTACACTACACTCCTATAGACTACACTCCTATACACTACACTCCTATACACTACACTATACACTACTATACACTACACTATACACTACTATACACTACACTACTATACACTACACTCCTATACACTACACTCCTATACACTACACTACTATACACTACACTATACACTACACTACTATACACTACACTCCTATACACTACACTCCTATACACTACACTCCTATACACTACACTCCTATACACTACACTACTATACACTACACTATACACTACACTCCTATACACTACACTACTATACACTACACTATACACTACACTACTATACCCTACACTCCTATACACTACACTATACACCACTATACACTACACTATACACTACTATACACTACACTCCTATACACTACACTCCTATACACTACACTCCTATACACTACACTCCTATACACTACACTACTATACACTACACTCCTATAGAATACACTCCTATACACCACACTCCTATACACTACACTATACACTCCTATACACTACACTATACACTACTATACACTACACTATACACTACTATACACTACACTCCTATAGACTACACTCCTATACACTACACTCCTATACACTACACTATACACTACTATACACTACACTACTGTACACTACACTCCTATACACTACACTCCTATACACTACACTATACACTACTATACACTACACTATACACTACACTATACACTACTATACACTACACTATACACTACTATACACTACACTCCTATACACTACACTCCTATACACTACACTCCTATACACTACACTCCTATAGACTACACTCCTATAGACTACACTCCTATACACTACACTCCTATACACTACACTCCTATAGACTACACTCCTATAGACTACACTCCTATACACTACACTCCTATACACTACACTCCTATACACTACACTCCTATACACTACACTCCTATACACTACACTCCTATACACTACACTCCTATACACTACACTCCTATACACTACACTCCTATACACTACACTCCTATACACTACACTCCTATACACTACACTCCTATACACTACACTCCTATACACTACACTACTATACACTACACTACACTATACACTACACTACTATACACTACACTACTATACACTACACTCCTATACACTACAATCCTATACACTACACTCCTATACACTACACTACTATACACTACACTCCTATACACTACACTCCTATACACTACACTACTATACACTACACTATACACTACACTACTATACCCTACACTCCTATACACTACACTCCTATACACTACACTCCTATACACTACACTATACACTACACTACTATACACTACACTGCTATACACTACACTACTATACACTACACTCCTATACACTACACTACTATACACTACACTACTATACACTACACTCCTATACACTACACTCCTATACACTACACTACTATACACTACACTACTATACACTACACTACTATACACTACACTCCTATACACTACACTACTATACACTACACTACTGTACACTGCTATACACTACACTACGTTACACTACAGTACGTTACACTACACTACTATACACTACACTACTATACACTAGCCTACACTATACTAATATACACTACACTACTATACACTAGCCTACACTATACACTGCACTACGTTACACTACTATACACTAGCCTACACTACACTAATATACACTACACTACTATACACTACACTACTATACACTACACTACTACAGTGAGGGAAAAAAGTATTTGATCCCCTGCTGATTTTGTACATTTGCCCACTGACAAAGAAATGATTAGTCTATAATTTTAATGGCAGGTTTATTTGAACAGTAAGAGACAGAATAACGACAACAAAATCCGGAAAAATGCATGTCAAAAATGTTATAAATTGATTTGCATTTTAATGAGGGAAATAAGTATTTGACCCCCTCTCAATCAGAAAGATTTCTGGCTCCCAGGTGTCTTTTATACAGGTAACAAGTTGAGATTAGGAGCACAGTCTTAAAGGGAGTGCTCCTAATTTCAGCTGTTACCTGCATAAAAGGCACCTGTCCACAGAAGCAATCAATCAATCAGATTCCAAACTCTCCACCATGGCCAAGACCAAAGAGCTCTCCAAGGATGTCAGGGACAAGATTGTAGACCTACACAAGGCTGGAATGGGCTACAAGACCATTGCCAAGCAGCTTGGTGAGAAGGTGACAACAGTTGGTGCGATTATTCGCAAATGGAAGAAACACAAAAGAACTGTCAATCTCCCTCGGCCTGGGGCTCCATGCAAGATCTCACCTCGTGGAGTTGCAATGATCATGAGAACGGTGAGGAATCAGCCCAGAACTACACGGGAGGATCTTGTCAATGATCTCAAGGCAGCTGGGACCACAGTCACCAAGAAAACAATTGGTAACACACTACGCCGTGAAGGACTGAAATCCTGCAGCGCCCGCAAGGTCCCCCTGCTCAAGAAAGCACATATAAATGCCCGTCTGAAGTTTGCCAATGAACATTTGAATGATTCAGAGGACAACTGGGTGAAAGTGTTGTGGTCAGATGAGACCAAAATGGAGCTCTTTGGCATCAACTCAACTCGCCGTGTTTGGAGGAGGAGGAATGCTGCCTATGACCCCAAGAACACTATCCCCACCGTCAAACATGGAGGTGGGAACATTATGCTTTGGGGGTGTTTTTCTGCTAAGGGGACAGGACAACTTCACCGCATCAAAGGGACGATGGACGGGGCCATGTACCGTCAAATCCTGGGTGAGGATCTCCTTCCCTCAGCCAGGGCATTGAAAATGGGTCGTGGATGGGTATTCCAACATGACAATGACCCAAAGCACACGGCCAAGGCAACAAAGGAGTGGCTCAAGAAGAAGCACATTAAGGTCCTGGAGTGGCCTAGCCAGTCTCCAGACCTTAATCCCATAGAAAATCTGTGGAGGGAGCTGAAGGTTCGAGTTGCCAAACGTCAGCCTCGAAACCTTAATGACTTGGAGAAGATCTGCAAAGAGGAGTGGGACAAAATCCCTCCTGAGATGTGTGCAAACCTGGTGGCCAACTACAAGAAACGTCTGACCTCTGTGATTGCCAACAAGGGTTTTGCCACCAAGTACTAAGTCATGTTTTGCAGAGGGGTCAAATACTTATTTCCCTCATTAAAATGCAAATCAGTTTATAACATTTTTGACATGCGTTTTTCTGGATTTTTTTGTTATTATTCTGTCTCTCACTGTTCAAATAAACCTACCATTAAAATTAAAGAATGATCATTTCTTCATCAGTGGGCAAACGTACAAAATCACCAAGGGATCAAATACTTTTTTCCCTCACTGTATACACTACACTACTATACACTACACTACTATACACTAGCCAATGCTATACTACTATACACCACACTACTATACACTGCACTACTACACACTACACTACTATACACTAACCTACACTATACTAATATACACTACACTACTATACACTAGCCTACACTATACACTGCACTACGTTACACTACTATACACTAGCCTACACTACACTAATATACACTACACTACTATACACTACACTACTATACACTACACTACTACAGTGAGGGAAAAAAGTATTTGATCCCCTGCTGATTTTGTACATTTGCCCACTGACAAAGATGTGATTAGTCTATAAT